ATGAATTCGTGTCGTACCCATAGAATAACTATTGGTAAAAATCAGTTAGATTAACAACTTCTAATATACAGAAAAGCCAGTCTGTTTTGGTAACACCACCTTCCAACAATGGCTTTTATGTCATGTTGCTTGGCAACAAAAGTATAACCTAATATTATTGTTAGTCTATGTATTGAAAGTATAACATGAAATGTACAAAACTGGAAAAAATATTTATTGTTTTCTTAATTCAGTCTCCGATTTAAGTTTAAAATTCAATCGATATTCCTACTTTCATGATAAATTTTATGTACTTGGTTCTAGGCTAGGTGATCACACACTGCGTCTTTACCTTAGGCTTATTATACCAACACTCACTACACTTATAAGGTTTCACGACTACCTACTCATGGCCTCTTTGCACCTCCGTCACTAAAATCGTAATGAGCAGACAGTAATTGGACTATTCTATCTGGATAAATGAATTTTGGCTTTTATGACTCCTCCTATTCCGAAAAAAAAAAATCAAGCGTGACGTGACACACACTGGTTTTTATATATGTTGGACAATATCATTTCGTGTGTAAAAGTTCGCTTAGTGTTAAAACGCATTTATTAAATGGATTTCTTTCAGTTTACTGCAACCTCATGCTGTGTAATATAATATTTGTTTCCGATATTTCTCAAGTATACACCAGAACCATCTACGTTAGCCGTCCTTCATTGTAAACTGATAGACGCAAGATCACGCCAGACGGCACCCACCGTTACCTCTTGGACTATTCTAAATTATTTGTGGAATTTTACTGTCACTTCTATAACGCACACACGGCCTGGCATGGTCCTGCTGTTAGGGAACTCGACTCGTAATCTGCACGACGCGAATTTGAATACCGTCGCCTAATAGGCTCGCCCTTTCAGCCGTGAGGGCGTTATTCTCGCTCTTTGTCGGTGTGGGTGGGTGTTGATTAGCTGCCCTCCCTCTAGTCTTACACTACTAAATTAGAGACGGCTAGCACAGACAGAAATCGTGTAGCATTACACGAAATTCGGGAATTTAGTGATACTTAAAAAAGTCGCTTTTGGACTTCACGCGATTTTCATGTCATGGTGATAAAATTAATGGTGTTTGGAAATGTAAAAGTGTCGATAAATTATCACTCCTCTTATTTCGTTAAATCAAGCGTAACGTGATGTGACACACACTCTTATTTCGTTAAATCAAGCGTAACGTGATGTGACACACACTCTTATTTCGTTAAATCAAGCGTAACGTGATGTGACACACACTCTTATTTCGTTAAATCAAGCGTAACGTGATGTGACACACACTGGCTTTTATATAGGTTAGATGTTAACACGTTTAACTTACTCTTCTCCCGGCTTCATACTCACAGTAGAAACGATCCAACAGTAATCAACAGTTTTAACTTACTCTTCTCCCGGCTTCATACCCACAGTAGAAACGATCCAACAGTAATCAACAGTTTTAACTTACTCTTTTCCTTACTGTTGGATCGTTTCTACTGTGGGTATGAAGCCGAGTAAGTTAAAACTGTTGAAAGTTAAAACTGTTGATTACTGTTGGATCGTTTCTACTGGGGTTATGAAGCCGGGAGAAGACTCTTCTCCCGGCTTCATACCCACAGTAGAAACGAAGTTAAAACTGTTGATTACTGTTGGATCGTTTCTACTGGGGTTATGAAGCCGGGAGAAGTAATTATTTGTGGTTGTTTGTGATGTTTTGTTAAAGGTATTGTTATGTGTGTTGTTAACTATTGTGGGAGTGTCACCATCTTGAACATAAAAATTGGGTATCAATTACTCTTATGTGCATCTTTAACTGTTCTGGGTTGTGTCACCATTGTGTCGCCATTCTCAACACACTGAGTTTTTAAATTGAAAAAAAAAAACTGTCTAATAATCACGTGATTTATTGGTTTGAACACTTCTCCCACGTTTCGATTTATAACTATTAAAATGAAATGTTTCATCAGTTTGTTTCATGTTTCTCACCGTTAACGATACTTTCAGCCATAACACCAATAATACGTCACGAGGGTCAGCCAATTTATAATATATTTGTAAGTCTGAAGGTTTACAGTGTAAACAATCACTGTAGTAAAAAAGTATAATAGTAATAAACAGTATATTGAAATAAAAAATATGGTAAACGTGTTGTTAAGGTAAACTATTATTTCAGATCTTTGGACATTACCGATAAATGATCTTAAACCATCAAATTTGTTTTGGTTTTTTTAATTGGACACTCAACGTTTCGCTTTACAGCTTCTTCAGTTTCACTAAAACACAAACCGTAATGGTTTAAATAAAAGCCCCAATTTGAACTATAGAACTTAAATAAGGTCAATCAAAGCAGTAAAAGTTCCTTTTGTAATTCCTTTGTTCAATGTGAGATATTTCAGAGTTAATGCTGTCACGTGTCTATTTTAATAACAAACGTATAAATGACATCCTACGTTTTATCATTACGTTTAACAGCCAGCAGGGAAGCGGCTTTTACCCACGCTATCTCCGCAGCGGGAGTGGTGCACACCGTGGCCAGAGCCTGTCGCGACGGGCAACTGTCAAATTGCGGCTGCAGCCGAGCACTTAGGCCTAAAAGCCTGCACCGTGACTGGATTTGGGGAGGCTGCGGAGACAACATAGAATATGGTTACCGATTCGCTGAAGGGTTTATTGACGTCAGAGAACGAGAGAACAACTTTCCAACTGGTTCGAGAAAACAAGGGAGAAAATTCATGAATCTTCATAACAATGAAGCCGGGAGAAGAGTAAGTTAAAACTGTTAATTACTGTTGAATCATTTCTACTGTGGGTATGAAGCCGGGAGAAGAGTAAGTTAAAACTGTTGATTACTGTTGGATCGTTTCTACTGTGGGTATGAAGCCAGGAGAAGAGTAAGTTAAAACTGCTGATTACTGTTGGATCGTTTCTACTGGGGTATGAAGCCGGGAGAAGAGTAAGTTAAAACTGTTGATTACTGTTGGATCGTTTCTACTGTGTGTATGAAGCCGGGAGAAGAGTAAGTTAAAACTGTTGATTACTGTTGGATCGTTTCTACTGTGGTTATGAAGCCGGGAAAAGAGTAAGTTAAAACTGTTGATTACTGTTCTAATGTAAGTTCAACAAAACACATCTGTTAATAATATATCTAGTACCGTAACTTCAACAAAACACCACAAATCATCATGTAGTTAGTAACGTAACTTCAACAAAACACCACAAATCATCATATATCTAGTACCGTAACGTCAACAAAACACCACAAATCATCATGTAGTTAGTAATGTAACTTCAACAAAACACCACAAATCATCAAATATCTAGTACCGTAACGTCAACAAAACACATCTGTTAATCATATATCTAGTACCGTAACGTCAACAAAACACATCTGTTAATCATATATCTAGTACCGTAACTTCAACAAAACAAATCTGTTAATCATATATCTAGTACTGTAACTTCAACAAAACACATCTGTTAATCATATATCTAGTACCGTAACGTCAACATAAAACATCTGTTAATCATATATCTAGTACTGTAACTTCAACAAAACACATCTGTTCATCAAATATCTAGTACCGTAACGTCAACAAAACACCACAAATCATCATATATCTAGTACTGTAACTTCAACAAAACACCACAAATCATCAAATATCTAGTACCGTAACGTCAACAAAACACCACAAATCCTCATATATCTCGTACCATAACGTCAACCAAACACCACAAATCATCAAATATCTAGTACCGTAACGTCAAC